AGAGCGCAGACCGAGAGCGATCCACAGAGTTCTACTGTGGTCGATGAGGCGAGAATCGTGGGTAAAAAGTGTCGACAGGACAGCGCCATGGAATACTCGTTCGACGAAAGAACCGACATGTTCGAAGTTTACGTTGCTTGTGGGAAGAACGCAGAACTTGCCGTGGGGGCGTATCGACTCCGTTTCCCAGACCGACAGGTCCCATCCAGGACCCTCTTCTCACGCTTGGAGAAGAACCTTCGAAACTTCGGCAGACTCTACGGCGTGCCGAAATCATTCCCGTCAGAGGAACTTGAGACGGATGTCCTGGCTTTCGTAGGAATTCACCCCCAAGCATCTTCGAGGGAAATGGCATCGATTTGTGCTACGGATCATTCCACTGTGCTCGATATCATGCGGAAGCATAATTTGAAGCCCTTCAAGATATCGAAAACCCACCATCTACAAATCGCTGATCTACATATATAGATCGTGATATGATTCCGGGTGCGAAGATACACATATGATATGGGAAGTGGATCGCTTGTCAAGACTCCATCTCATTCAATGAATAACAATGAAGCTCATGAGAACGAATACCGTGGGCAGTATCCGCTCGACTGACCCACAGCAAACTTTTTGTGTTCTCTGCAAATCAGGGAACGCTGTTGCTATTCAAACTTGTGGCCCAGTTGACGGTCTGGCTCAGTTGACGGTCTGGCCCACTTGACTCTATGGCCCAGTTGACGCTATGGCCCACTTGACGCTATGGCCCAGTTGACGGTCTGGCCCACTTGACGGTCTGGCCCAGTTGATGCTATGGCCTAGTTGACGCGCTCCGATCCACGAAGGCCATATGTACATCCAGGAGAATAAAAGCAAGGACGGCTCGACACAGTTTCGGCGGTGTCAACGAGTGGGCGCTTGTAAAGCACGATTACATTCTTGCCTCACCACGGATGAGGTTACCAAGATAATCGGTACTCATAGTGATGATTCGGATCCTTCGCGAATAGAAGTCGCCATGAGGAGATGTACCTTGAAACGTCGCGCCGTAGAGAGTCAGGAAACACCTCCACAACTGATCGAGAGCGCTTCCGAATCATCGTCGCAGGCAGCCAAGGTCGTGGCTCCGAAGTCCGAGACCTTGGCAAGAGCAGTGAATCGGGCTCGGCGAGCCTCAAGACGTCCCCCGGCACTTCCGACGGATCGCGCGGCAATCGTCTTCCCCCTGGAGTATACAATGTATGAAAGGGATCCAGGGCATTCCGAACCATTACTCTTAGGTGATTCAGGTGAGACTTCATGAGCGAGCAGTTGGTTTCATCCACAGCCCTCGGCCTGAGCTAGTTTAGGCAACTCATTCGTACATCAATGCATCGATGAGTCTCGAAATCACTTCTCCGTGGAATGAAATTATTGAATTCCCGCAGGTCAGGGCGATACGCAGCGAATCCTACTGTTCGGTCGGCAATCGGTCTCTGAATGGATTGGTCTGGTTCGCAAAATATACGTAGACGGCACGTTTAGTTTGTCCCCGTCGCTGTCCTACCAGATTCTCGTCATTCTGGCCGAACGAGACGCATTCGTGCTGCCCGTGTGTTACGCCCTACTGCCCAGCAAGTCAGAGGAAAGGAACCGCCGCATGATCACCATCCTTCGGGACGCGTGGCCTGAATCCCGCCGCGGTATCGACGGATTTCGAAAAAGGCCTGATGAATTCTTCCGCTGACGCCTTCCCAGATGCCGCCCTGCACGGCTGTCTGTTCCATCTAGTACAGAACTTGAAGAAGAAGCTTGCTGACTTGAATCTCATGAGTCCTTATCGAAACGACGATAACTTCAATTTGGCCGCACGAATGATATCTGGTCTCGCTTTTGTCCCCCCTGATTCTCTTGACAATGTCATCGCAGATCTCGCCGTGTATCTGCCGGAAGAATTGATGCCCGCGCTCAAGTACTTCGAAGACTTCTACGTGGGATCCCTGCTCCACATCCTGCCTGATGGGAACGTTGTTCGTCGTCGACCCTTGCTCAGTGTAGAGACATGGTCAGTCGACCTTCGAACTCTCAGCAACGATTCCCGCACATAGATGCAAAGTGTCACACAACTTCGCGGATAGAAGACTCCAAACAGAGTTTGGAGTGGATCACCCGACCCTATGGGGACTAATTGATGGGTTCAGGAAAGTTCAGCACCATCGTGATATGCGTTACGCCCGGTTCATTGGCGGGCATTCGCCGGAGAAAAAACGAAGAAAATACGTCGAAGCCGACGAAAGGCTGCGTCGATTGGTAAATTGTTTCCACGATCGCACGTCTATCGAATTCCTTCAAGGCGTCGCGAAAAATTACTTTATGGACGCTTGATTTGAGAATACTACCGAAAAGTTCATCGGGTAGCCCAGTTCATGAATACGTTAAAGGGATGGCTCAGCATCGGAATTTCGGACATCGAGCTATCCAGGCATCGAGATAACCGGCAACGAACTATCTCCGCATCGAGATGTCCAACATCTAAGTATTTCAAAATCGAGATGTGCGGCATCGACTGGTCCAGCATCGAAAAGTCTCAGCCCCGTTTCAAGCCCCGTCGAACCGTCTTGACGTCGCATACTCGGCATCGAATCGTCGGAATCGGGTTGGGCGGCATCGAGTTGTCATGGACCGGATCCGCGATCCGCTTGTCGTATTGTTTGCCATGATTGGCAAGGTGAGTTGAGACGGGATTGAGAGAAACTCGAAATCCTCGATCTCCGGAGCACTTTGCATGCGCCGAAATAAAAAACCTGACAGCAGCTGTATTCTGCCGCATTCCGATACCCTTAGGTAGGAGTAAGCAGCTTACCCCGTTGGGAGCTGTTTCCCGAAGTCACCGGTCGGCCACGGAGCACTGACCAATTGTTGGTAAGAGGCAATTCGTGCTTATAACGTGTTAGAACAGCGTGACAAACAGGTTGAAGGAAAGGTCGGGTAGTGAGTAGTGAGGAAACACACTAGCTCAGTGAGCGAAGTGAACTAACAGGAGTACAGTCTCACAAAGGAGGAGACACCACAGTAAAAATTCGGATTGTATCCTCCTTATATAGGAGTTAGGGTGAGGCGATCTCCACCTTCTTTACCATGCTTACCTACATGTACAGGCTGGATGAGTCTCCGTAAAATATCTTGGGAGCCACCCAATGTGTGACTCACTCTAGCAATCTGAAGTCCCGCTTTCGTACTAGCGGACTAACATTTAGCTCACGTCGGAACCGGGACTGAGAACCCCGATTGTATGACTCACGAGGATAGCGTACCCACGCTATGAGTCTCACCGACACGACGCCACCGAGTCTGAGGATTCACAGCTTCCAATTCTGTTCATCCCGACACTTCATTTATATGGAGCTGGGGGCACTCCTCTTGTTCCTCTTGTCGATCGTCTTGGGGATTCGAGATTTTTCTTCTGTTCCACTGTCGTCTTCCTTTCTTCGGTTGTCTCCTCGTCACATGAGTTGAAAACTTCCTCCTCTTCTTCTGTCGGAATTTCGACGGGTGACTCTTCGTCCCTCACTTCGATTTGTGGATGGTTTGTTGTATCCAGTGAGATCTCTTCCTCTTCGGGAGCCCGTGATCCACTTCTGACGGCGCGGCCGATAATCCCGAACGCTTACTGGTTCTCCAATCGCACAATATGTTGTGTCGATGTTTGTGAGTTCTTCGCTTCTAGCGGGCAGTCGTGATAATGCATCGGCGTTCCGATGTTTTTCGGATTTCCTGTAGATGATGTCGAAGTTGAATGCTAACGAGAAGATGCTGTAGTGTTGCATTCGGGCGGCTGACAGCGCCAGCGCTGGCTGCCTCGACGGCGAGAATATTTGCACGAGCGGTTTCGAGTCTGTTATGAGTTCGAAAGACGCCCGAACAGGTAGTAGAAGAATTTTTCCACTCCAGTTTTGATGCCCAATGCCTCTTTATCGATTCGGCTGTACTTTTTTTGTACTTGACAGAACCCGGGAGTAAAAGGCGATCGGTCTCCCCGAACCGTCCGGATAGCGATGCGACAGGATAGAGACTAGAGGATAGGAGATTCCGACTGGGGACGCGTCCATTGCCTACAGCAGCGGTTTGGATGTGTGGGGAACTCTCCGCTGGACCAGTGAGAGAGTACACGAAGGGGTATCCTTAGCTCCGAGAGCGGGTGGCCTGCACTGATTATGAGAACTGGTTCCCGAGGAAACTGACTGATGACGGGCCGGGGAGACTTTCTCGTCCAAAACCCGGGTTGCCGTCACAGATGTGGGCCGAGTCCGATAAGTGTGGTTATCGAGACTCTTGTCACTGTCGCGTTATCGCGACCATACGCCAAAATCGTCACTTCAAGATGGCGACTGATGTATGTTGACGATCGAGACGGAGCGTGAACGTCCGTCCTCGATCTCCGACCGCCCATTCTTCAGACGGACACAGACAACTCGATGCCGACAACTCGATGCCGACAACTCGATGTCGGACGAGTGGATGCCGGCAAGCTCGATACCTGGACAGCTCAATGCCGAGACAGTCCGATGCCTGACAGCTCGATGCCAGACTGACTCGATGCCAGGAGGATCCAGAATCAGGCGAAAGACTTGGACGCCGCTCAAGGAAAAAACTCAGATTCTTATCAGAAAAACTCCTTCGGAGAATTATTCATATTAAGTTACGAAGTACGATTCGTCATATTCAGCTCCGATGACATCAAGCTTCCATTCTGAAGTTAGCTGCGATTCCTTTTAAGAAATCCACGGCTGTATTGTTACCGTAATCCGTGACGAGCTTGAGTAACTTTCGGTCAACAACGGCGTATTTTCTACACTTCTTGGTCGGCGGGCTGCCTCTTAGGCAACGGGCTAGCAGCATGTCTCTATGGTGCTGCACCCTCTTTAGGCCGTCGATAAATCGCCACAGGTTCGGATGATCTACTCCGAATTCTGTCTGAAGTCTGCGGTGGGCAGCCTCTGCGTGATTATTCGTTCGTGCCTCGCCGCTCATCGTTCGATTGTATACGGACCACATGCTCAGAGGGAACATGGGCTCCTTACGTATCACACTCCCGTCCGACAACAAATGGAGAAGTGAGCCTACGTACGTATCTTCAAAGTATTTGAGGACGGGCATTAACTCCGGAGGCAGGATTGAGGCGAGCTGAGCTATGGCGTTATCTAGTTCCGTCGGCGGTACAAATGCCAACGCCACTATCATACGTGCATTGAGTCCGAAAGCGTCATAATTTCGGTATCTTCCCATCAGGTGGAGTTCAGCGAGTTTGAGTTTAAGATTCTTTACCAAACGAAATAGACAACCCTGAATTTCGGCTGCGGGAAACTTCGTCCGGAAAGCGTTCATCAGCCCTCTGTCATAGTCCATAGAGACCACTTCAGGATTGAATGCGGGCCAAGCACACTTAATCAATTCAATCATCCGCGCGTACGAATCTTGTGTCTTATTCGGTAACAATGCATGGCAAATGGGGATAACGAAATCCGCCCGTTCCGCCAATACAACGACAATTCGGTAAAAACATCCCGGTGATAGGCTGAACGTCCCATCGACGTATATCTTGTCCACAAGTCCAATCCAGTCGCCAATCGATTCTCTGCCGAATAAGAGTATTCGCATTCGATCTCCCTCGCCTGGAAAGTATCACCGACTTTCATCATGCTTGTGTCTCTCGCAACAAACCAGGCATGAATCGGATATTTAAGTATATTCAATCGATGTGTGTTCGCAACAGTGGTGGGCAATTTACCCGTATCACCAATCAAAAAACGTTCAAGTCGGCCGGGCTCTGATTCGTAGGAAGCGTACTCCGACGGGATAACGATGGATGCGCGGTCCGTGGGGAGAGCGGGAAGTCTCATGGCTTTTCTTCTTGCTCTGCTCACGCTTCTCGACAAGGTCTCACAGCTCGGAAGTACGAGCTGCGTCGCCTGGGAACTGTTTTCGAATATTTTTTCGATCATCTGGAGCGGCGTCTCTTGACTGTCGATCGCTCGGCGTTTCAGTTGGTGTCTCCTTGCGGCTACCTGTATAGCAGCTGGATTGGGCTCATCACTATGCTCGCCCAGAATTTTCACAACTTCGCCTGTAG